ATCTCAAGCTGGATTATTTCTGGCAGTCTGTTCAGGCCCTTAGTTAATAGTACAATCCTATGCATGTTTACTCATAAGCAGTTTATTCATTATAAACTGTAATGAATATGAAAATAAAATAGTCAAGGATCTGATGACAATTCTGTAAAATCTTTTCTGATATCTTGTTCTCAGCTGATAAAACAAAATATTTGACATTGGAACAAAACCACTGTGTTCATCTTGGGAGATCGTCTGAGCTCAAAGGCAGTTAGAAACAATATTCTTTATCTTCCCTAGTCTAAGCACAGAATGAGCAAACATTATTATTCACTTAATTTTGTTTTGTCCTACAACTCTCAGGAAAGGGAATTGGCAAAGCCACCTCTGAGAGTCCCTTGTTTAAGAAAACCCTATGAAACTTGTGGGATCACCATAAGTCAACAGGCAACTTAAAGGCACATACACACGCAACATGCAGCTATCACAACACCCAGTGTTCCACACAATGCAATCATGTTAGTTAAAGTGGAAATATACTATATAACTACAGAGTATGAAAGGACACCTTAATGACAAAAATCTCCCTCTTGTTTTCTATGCCATGCTCAGTCCTAAAGATTTAAGCAGAATTTTATTGAATAATAAACACAGACAACACAAACAGTATATATGGAACATCAGAATATATTATACACTTTTACATCTCAGCTAAACAAATATATCTTAAGTGTTCTCAGAGATGCATGGGGTATAATGACTCACAGGAAGAGAAAGACATTGGTAAGCCCCAAGAGCTTTATTAGGTGTGGGCTAGTCTTATGCCATTGATGAGTGAGAAGTGTGGATAATTGTGTCCTGGCAGCCCTAGAAATTCTGTGTTCCAAAACTGAAAAAGTGAACCATATCTAAAATGCACAAAAATGAAATAAATACATAAATTTAAATAAATAAATAAATAATATATAATCATGACAGGGTGGATTTTATATGGAGTGTGTGTTTTAGTTATGTTTTTAACTTTGTATGTTTTAATGTTAATTTTATACTGCTTTAACTAGATGATTTTAATTGTTTTTACATTTTTATTGTAAAATTTTTAAAATGTGTTTTATCTGGTGAGCCAGCTGAGGTCCCTTTCTGGGAGAAAGGAGGCATAAAAATTAAATAAATAAATAAATGTACAGGAGACAAGCTTCCTAAATATAATGTCTTCCATCCTATTTTAGAGAAATGCTTAACTACAATTCTTTGTAATATTTGAGATATATACTTACGTTAAGATGTGGGCACTGCATTCTGCATTTGTTTCAGACAGCACTGTTTTCTGTATATCTTTCCATTAGTTTCAGAAAGAGGAGTAATTCTGTCATTTTCTATTGCATAAAAGAATCCAGGATTTTATTTTGTCACATTTCTAGATGAACTTTCATCTAAGGAACACAATTTATCTTCATAAGGAAGTAAAAGGAAAGTTAGGTTAAACATCATAGTGATTACAGGATTACATGTCCATAAACAGAGTTATGGTCATGATGTTCCTTTCCCATATGGATTGCATGCTTTCATTACTTGAAAAGCTGGCAGTCAAATCATCTTGAAGATTCTTTTCAAACCATTGTGGGCAAGCATCAGAGAAGTTATTTCAAATTAGGAATGCTGCTGATGTTTAGAAAACAAAATTATATTCTTGAAATATTTCCAGTAGTTCTAACAAGTTTAATTCTTGATGCTGAATCTTTAGGGTAGTGATTTCTGGAAGATGTACAGAAAGCATTTTTAACACTCTAGATAAATTCTTTCCATATTTACATGACAGTCCCTCTGAACTCATGGGGACATACTGCTGAATAAATATGCATAGGACTGCACTGTTAATGTAACTTTTCTAAAACTAACTCTAAAATTTTCATGGAAGCAGGGAAGAATTTTTTTCTATGAAAATTGTGACGTGTAACTTATACCTGTACTATCATTTGACTTCAATAATAAATCTTGAACTTATTCTGAGATGATTCTTCTTCCTTATCCCAATCATTAGAACTAGCTCTTGCTACTAAATATTTTCCTTTAGGAAACAAACATTTCTCATTATTTATTTTCATTATTTATTTTCATGTGAAAATAAAAACTAGTTAGCCTTAATGGTGCTGCCCCATTTCTTATTATTTTTCATTCTCCCCTTCCTTTGTAATGTGTTTCTCTGCACACCTATAGTAGAGACAGGAAAGACATTTTTCTTCTTAAATTCTTTCATAAAGGAAAACTCTAGATATTGTTAATTAAGTGTGTGACATACCTGGCCTTTTGCAATTGTAGTGCTGAAATAGTTAATAAGTAGCTGTGTGTGTGTGTGTGTGACTATTTTAAGGCTAGAAACTCCTGCAAGTAATATATAATTCATAGGCACTTTTCCTTTATGACATTTGAAAACATGTATCATATGCATTGTTTTAAAGTCACCATTAAGGTACTTCATCAGCTGAATGTTAACATTACTAATATATCTCCTTCTTACTAACAGCACTTTACCAAGTGGTGTTACTGTATAAGTGCCTAATTAATCAAAAGAACTGTATGTTCTTTTCATTCTCTTTGAGTTGTTGTCTTCATAAGGTCTGATGCATTATTTCCAAAGGAGAAATAATGCAGACTATCAGTTATCAAAGAAAGCAATATGAAACTCATACATATGCCCTCCAATAAGATGTAAGTCACTTCATCCCTATAAGCTTAGGGCAGAATGACACAGAGGAGGACAGTTCCCAAGGAACTGGGGACTATGCCGGTATCATTTTTTACCACCATAATGATCATCATGATCATCATCATGGCATGGTACTTTGATGGCTGGACTAGGGCTCTGGAGACCAGGGTTTGAATCAGCCAAGGAAACCCAGAGGGTGACCTTGAGAAATTCACACACATACACACGGAGCCCCAGAGAATGCTGTGATAGGTTCACTTTAGGGTTGTCATAAGTCAGAAACAATTTGAAGGCACACAATAACAACAGTCCACTCATTATTGAAGAACCAGAAGTGATCAGAATAGGACTTTAAAAAAAATAATAAAGAAGCAATGGAGGCCTAAAGCAGGTCTACCCACTCATTGGTTGTTGTAATGTGCCTTCAAGTCATTTCTGACCTAAGCCAACTCAAAGGCAAACCTGTTGTGGGTTTTTCTTAGCAAATATCTTCAGAGTGGGTTTGCCATTGCCATCCTCTGAAGCTGAGAAAGTATGACTTGCCCAAGGTCACCCAGCAGGTTTACATGGCCAAGCCAGGATTTGAACCCAGGTCTCCAGAGCCATAGTCCAATGCTCAAACCGCAGCACCACACTGGCTGTCCTGCCCACCCACCCTCAATTGCTTTTACATGACCAGTGGATGTGAAGATGTGAATATTTTAAATTAATCTTTTGGATTGTGATAGTCTGGGAACTTGGAAGGGTTTTTTTTGGGGGGGGGGCTTGGGGTACACAGGGGAATAACTTAATGCATGTGGCATACAGCTTAAAGACATACAATTACAACCCTTTCCCTAAAACCTTATCTTTCAGCTGTATGCTCAGCTGAAAGTTTCCTATGGTATCTTTAAATTCAAGGGCAGGGGACTTTTGGCTCACTATATGTTTTTGCTTACAGTTTCCAACTGTCCTGCCCAGCATGGCACTGGTAAAGGATTATGGGTATTGTAGTCCAAAATATCTGGAGGACTAAAGGGTTCCTTCCTTGATCTACTATTGTATATAGTATGCCTGTTGTCCATAGTGTGTCTATGCCTATTGTATATGCCACACTCTTCAATATTTTATTGATGAAACTGGGACATGCATGGGCAAGCAACACCAGAAATTATTAATAAGAAAGAAAACACAAGCTAGGAGAGGGTGCCACAGTGGTGTCACTGGGGAGTGGGTGGGTTCAGGAGGTATGTACTGCACCCATTGACACCCAAAAATGGTGATCGGTGCAGGAGGGGTGCACGGATGCCCTTGCTGGCTGCTCCATCTCTGGGCTTCCTTTCAGGGGAGAAGACTTGGGACCAGAGGAGTAGAATAACACATAATGCCGTTATGGCTGCTTTGTCACTGGGCTTCCTCCCAGGGCAGAAAGCCCAGGGGTAGTGGAGCAGGAGGGGCAAACGCCCATACTTCCCACACCAGGTGACACTGTAATTAGTGATGCCACTAGTGTGCCAAACTCCCCCCCCCCCCTTGAGCCTACTCTCAAGGGCACGATTCTACTCCCTCCTCTCCTTTCCCCTCACCTGAACTAATTGACCACAAACTACTTCTGCATTTTCACTTCATTATCCAGCAACTGAGCTAAGCTGAGGACAAAAGGGGAAAGTGGAAGGAGAAGACAGAATGTGGGACATTTTAAAAGCAGCTCAAAAAGTGGGGTGACAGAGGATTAATAGGGGCTGTCCCTTGCAGGGTATGATACATTATCTTCTCCTTTCTAGGGAAGCAATCTGGAGAGATACTTCTATTGCTATTAAACTATAATGTTCTATTTCTGCTAACTAACTGCTCCATGTATGAAATAGTAGTATATTAATGGCATGTATGGAGAAATATGGTTCTGATGGGTAGGGAAAAATCTTTTTCAACTTCCATAACCATTTCCTTGCAGTAGGACCCTTTTGGCTGGTGAATAACCTAATTATTTAGGCCTTTTCTGACTAGAGGTTGGATCATTGCGGTTCTGGGATTAGGGAGAGTAAGCACTTCATAGCTATCATGATAACCATGGTCTGCCCAGTGTACATACTTAAGGTCCAACACATGAATCTGGTCATCCACAGGATCTACTATTGCACTTTGGCTTGGAAAGAGGTTATAAATAAGAAAGAGAACATTATAATAAGAATTAGACAGAGTAATGGTACTCATTAGCAGCTGTAGAGGAATATACCACACTTTCATCTTCAAATAGAAAGAACAAATGTGAGAGGAAGTAGAAATCTCTACTAGAAATCCCTGGCCATTTTTTTAAAAAAAAACTTTTCCCCCTGATGATAAGTTTTAGAAAAATTTCCAGAGGATTAGCAGTAGTGCAATTAATATCCCATAGACACTGCTTGAATTTTGGCAATATTCTTCAACAAGTTTCAGCAACACTGCAACCCAGTGAAGAGAACAGAGGACTCCCCCCCAAGTCAAGGGCTGTGTCTGCACTGCAAAAATAATGCAGTTTGACACCACTTTAACTGCTATGTCTCAATGCCATGGAATCCTGGGATGTGTAGTTTGTTGTTTGTAGTTTGCAACAGCGCTCTCAGACAGAGAAGGCTAAATGTCTCACAAAACTACAAATCCAACAATTCCATAGCATTGAGCCATGGTAAACTGCATTATTTCTGCAGTACAGATGCAGCCTAAGTCATGACACTGAAAGACAGTGATACATCACTGCTGGGGAGAGTCTAGCTTCCACTAGTTAGTGACAAAGCAGCAGCTGCTGCTGCTTCTCCTCTTTTTTAGCAAAAGATAAGACAAGATGGTGTGGGACAGAACACTTAGGGACCTGTGTTCCCTCTTGCCTGGTGTTGTCCTATTTGGATGATGCAGGACAATAGCCTGAAGCCAGAATCGGTCGGTCCAGACACCGACCCAACAGTTCTTTACCGGCCCTTGTCTAAACTGACTGATTGCAGCTGCGTTTCTGCAACAGCCAGCAGATTTCACAGCACCTGACCTGCCACCACTGCTGTGTTCCCTCTGAAGGCCCCAGCCACATATCATGACATTGAGAGAGGCCACCTGGCCATAGGAGTGAAGCCAGGTGTCCTGTTCCTGGAATTAAGGACCATGGTGGGGAGGGGGCTTCAGAGGGAATGCAGCAGTGATGTGGAGTGGTGGTGGAACCATGGCATGCCATGTGAACACCCATCCATCACCCCATCGGCCTGGGGACAGAAACCAGTCAGAACTGCAGGAGGGATACCATGGGATTGGCGGTGGTATCTTGCCCATGTATATAGGCTTCTTGCCACCTCAAAATTCAGCTTATCCTCAGTTGATAGTTTAAAGAATGTGCCTACCAAAGGTACTACCATTATTCTCTTTCACATTGAATAAATGGAATAAATAAATAAAATATTGAGGATGAGGAGAAATGTTGGCTAGGCCTTACTCAGGCTTGGAATTTGCCCAAAACCAAACCAGCTAACCAGTGTTGTATAGGGTTGTCAGACTTAAAATTGGAGATGGTTATTCTACATTTCATGGTTGGAAAAGGTCTAGCAGGAAATTTCAGCAGATTCCAATAAGATAGCATGCAACATCTGCTGAAATTCTCTCTTCTATACTATTATTCTCTCTTCTATACTACCAAGGTATAGGTGCCTTCTCCAGTTTTCACTCTGGCAGCCCTAGTTGTTATATCCCACCTAAACTTAACAAATCCCCAGAAATACTGATTTGTCTCTTACAGAGTGGTTGCATTATCTCTCACTGGAAAACCTTGTGTTCCTGAGGCTGGCACTTGCCTTTACAATTTCCACAGAAATTGCCCAGTTCATGTCATAGAGCATTATTGTTGAATGCCTATATTCAACAGAAAGAGGTAAAGCCACCCTTGTTTGCAGCCCTCTAAGGGGATTTGTCATCATTTGTTGGCACAATATGCAACCAGTAACACATAGGGGACATATAGTGTGTCCACACTACAAAACTGTAGCACTTCAATATTACTTTAACTGCCATGTCTCCATTCTACAGCATCTTGGGAACTGTTATTTTTTGAGGTACTCAGAATTCTCTGCCAGAGAACACTAGGGTTATACTGCAGGGGAATATTGCAGTATAACGTGGCGGCGGCGACTCTCCTGGCCTGGCAGAGGCCTGAAGAAGGGCCCTGGGC